AGGGTTTAGTTTTGAGTGTTTAGAGGGTTTTAGGTGTCAAAACATTTTTTAGGGTTTAGAATTTAAGATATAGGCTTTATAAATCTATAATTAGTGGCATTTTTGTAAATGGACATCCCTAAGTGGCATTCTTGCAAATGTGCATATAAAAAGTGGTATTTTTGTAATTGCCCCTATATTTTTAAAATAATTGATTTTCGCAATTTTATTTGAATTAGATTTACCTCTTATGTAGTTACTCATATAGTATACAAGTTTTTTATAAATAAGGTTTGTTTTCGACATGTAATAAAATCTGATTGATGTTTTTTTTAAAACGTGTCAAAATCTGATTAATTGATTGTCATTGGCCAAGTAAAAAATAATAATTTTCTTAGTATTTAAAGATTGAAAATTTTTGAGCTGGTTCACAAAGTTCTAAAACATATTTTTGGATATTTTTAAAAAAGCTGAAAGTTTTTAGAGAATCCAATTCAAATATTATTCACTTTAACAAAAAAATATTCCACATATAATTTGTTTGTTGACAGAAAAGAACTAACATTGATTTAGCATAAATTCTTAAATTGCTAACCGATTCAATAAGATTTTTACAGCTGTTAAAATTTATAATTTCAAAAGAAAATCAAACGATTTCTAGTGTTTGATTTTAATTTATAATATCTATGTAACAGAAAAAAAAAACATGGCATGATGAAATGAGACGTAGAAACGTCAAAGACCATAGAATAGTTATTACTTATTATAAGTGATCACAAAAGTAGACAGCGCCACCACAAATCTCTGTCACACTCTCTCCTTCCTTTCCAACCTTGTATATTCATTTCCTTTCTTTTTAATCGTTATTATTATTTCTCTGTGAATTCTCACACTTCTTTAGAGGTTCACACACCGAACCCAAGAATATCTCTATCGAAAAATATCAAAGAAATGAAGAACGCCCATTTGCCAGAGGAATCCAAGGAACCAATCTCTCCTGGATCTTCTCACCGGAATCACGAGAAGCAATGCAAGGCGGCCACGGCGACATGTTTGCCGGAGACGACTGTGTTGTCGGGACGAGAGAGGCTAAAGAGACACCGAGAAGAAGTTGCCGGAAACGTTCCGATACCTGAGAGTTGGGGGAAAGAAGGATTGCTTATGGGGTGGATGGATTTCTCGGCCTTCGACGCTGCTTTTACTTCGAACCAGATTGTCTCTGCTCGAGCTGCGTTAATGGCCGACGCCGGAGATGATGCCGGAGCTAGAGGAAGTCGGTCTCAACGGCTCCGGGTTGAGAGCTCTTGTTGATTTTCAATGTTTAGAGAAATATTTATGCAAATAATACTTATCTTGATGCTGAATGTTGTTAGATACCTACTTCTTCACATTGATTTTGGAATTAAACCATTGATACAATTATTCAGAAGTTTTGATTTATTTAGGGAATTTTCGCTCAAACAACTATATAGTTTGATTTTGTAAACGTTGTTTAAATGTTAATTTGTCTGCTTTTCGAAATTAAGGTATATCGGTTGGGAATTATATAGTGAAGCCTTCATGCTTTTGTGAAAAAAAATACACCTTTCAATTTCTCATTCTTCCTAATCTTGATTACTTTCAGAGCATCGGATAGGAAAGGTAGGAAAGAGAGGAAAATGAGGTTTTAAGTGGAGAAACTCATTAGAAACTCCATTGACACATATACATTTAAAATTTTAAAATTAGTTATTTTTTTTTCCAAATAAAATTAATTCAATAATTGAAAAGTAGTAGTAATGTCCGAGCGAACTTTCTTACAAAATGAGGTCAAACACGATGTTATGTATTTTCCCATGTAAGTCAGATATTCCCGTTTGGAGTGGCCCGTCAGGAAAATTATCCAATCGGTAACAATTTGATATAATATAATGGTAATTATTGACAAAAAAAAATGAAAAAATGAAAATATTAGTATTATGTTGATTAGAATCATTTTGGAGATATTTCACCATTGCGGATGCTCTGAGAATTTGACTTTTCGATGTTATTATAAAACTCTGTATTATTTATGATTTTCTAATATTTATACCCAATCTTTACAAACTTGAGGTTACTACTTTGTGGTATAAGTGTCGAACGAATCAAACTTATAACACACAAGATCAAAAAATTAGTTTAGAATGGATGGATGATCATGAGATAAAACTAGTTGATGGCAATACATTCAGTTTATGACTGATCTAAGTATAACAATAGACAAAAAGCATAGTTAGAATTTCTTGCAAAGGAACTCATTATCAATAGACAAAAAGTAGTTGATGGCAATACAGTCTCAACTTCATGATGGATGTACATTTTGAAAAGCTCGAGCCACCATGTCGACGAATTCATTGTCCTGTGAAAAGGAAATCGTTAGGTTTGGGCAGTAGCTCAAGTCAAAGTGATGTGGTAAAAAGATAAACTTGAAACAGCCTTAAAAGGGCTTCTTTCACTTTTTCTCTGATGCCCGCCGGCCACTAGGTACATGATCGAGTGATGAGGGTGTATTTGGTGGTGGGAAAGGTTGGAGCATCGAAGTACCATATGGGTGCTGTTGGTGAGTCGCATTACTAGGGTTAAGAGGAGGAGCAGTTGGCATAGGTAAACCGGGAATGAGTGCCATCATCCGTGGGGGCCCAAAGAAAGAAGACAGCACCACCAAATCAGTGTGAACATTGGAGTTGATAATAATAATATCAGGGTTGTTGCCAAAGGGAGACATCAGCGGAGAGGAAGATGGCATAGGCGCTGATGATTTTATCTATGGAGGTGCAGCTGGAGGAAGGGAAATTGTGGGTTGGTGAGATTGTAGAGGAATTGATGAAGATTGGTACGTGATGGAGAGTAAAGTTTTACCCCAAAT